AACATTGCTTGTGGAAAAAAGAAAACTAACCTATTTTTATTACTGTCAAATCATTTAATAAAGGAAAGGCTGAGAACAAGAAGTTACATGTGAGGAGGACAGGAAGGAGCTGTTCCTTGGTCCCTCATGCCTGACCCAACATTCGCTTGACCAACACATCTGGTGCTGCCGACACAGCAGCACAGCCCCTGTGCCACTCTAACCACGGAGCAGCCACCCTGCACAGGCCGAGGGAACTGCACAGCACACGTTTTGGGGACGGGCAGCCCAGCAAACCCCCAGGGAGCCCCTCCCTGTTCATCTCCTCCTCTCCCACGAGCACCACAGCGGGCAGTTGTGTCTCTGGCCGAGCGTTCCAAAGCGGCAGCGCAGCAAGGCAAAGCTCCAAGGCCGCTTTGCAGGAGCTGCTGAGCCCGCTGCAGTGCTAATGTAGTGCTAATACATCCTTTAAAACACTAGCTCAGGCCCCTGCAACTGCCCACGACACGTGTAGTCCATAAAAGACCCGAGTGGTGTGCGAACACAGCTCCCTCACCCCGAGGGAAATGCCAGGGGTCACCGATGTCAAATGAAGTTTGCTCAGACAAGGCAGGCAGGGAGCACAGAAGGAAGTTGACGTGCTCTTCAAAGGGAAGAAATTTGTCCAGTCTGCAAGGCAGTTCTGTGTCTCACTGGCAATGAGTTTCTTTTGAAGAAATACTGTTGCACAGAAGTCTATTTAACTGCAATGCTGTTATACGGCATCCTCTGTTACCAAAAAGAGAATACACTCAGGAAACACTCCCTGCAAAACACCAGCACGGTTTTAGCCAGGAGGGGGGTGGTCCATCTAATCTTTGCAAGTGGCTCACCTGCTGCTGTCAGGCCAAAATACTTCGTGGATGTGACTTTAATTAACTGAAATACATCCTGAGACTGATTTTCAGTGAACTACGTTGCTATTAATCAGGAAGCAATTTGCATGGCGGGAGCTGAGTCGTTCCCATTGTTCTACACTTGTTTTGTTTGTACCCAACGATGTGACAAAATGTTACGAAACTTTGTGAGTGCTCCTGTGTTGGCAGAGAGATTTATGGCTCATGTTACCCAATCGATGCTGCAAGAGCAGCACTGGGGAGGGATGAAGTGCAGAGCCCTGTGATAACCAGGAGCTCAACCACTGCTTAACTTCTCCCGTGTGCTGCTGCGTCAGTTTTCTTATCTGTACAAGAAAGGAAACAAAGTTCATCTCTCTCTGCAAAGCACTTGGAGATATTTTGATAAACTGTGTTATTCAAACACAGCATTTTCCAAGGTCAGCCCTCTCTGCACAGCTCAGGCACTGCTCAAATAACTGATCCTCACCTTCTCTGGGTTTACAAACATCACTATCAGAGCTCTCACTCCAGCATCCACTTCCTCATGGAAGCTTTAGCCAGATCGTTAGCACACAGCAGGGACAGCTCCAGCAGGCAGCAGTGGGGCTGAGGAATGACCCTACAAGTCTTGCTCCCAATCCCAGGGAGGGCCAGGGGCCTGGAAGTGAGTGGGCAGTGCCAGCCAAAGCCTCTGCACAGGCTGCAGCCACTCAGCACTCCAAACCCTCAGCCCAGACAGCTCTTTAATGGAGTTCACAGGCTGGAAAGCACAAAGGAACTGAGCTGGAGAGGGCCAAACCCCAGCTTCCTGGCTGAGCAATTACCAGAGAGTATTCATGTATTATTACACTTTAATCAGATGCACATGAAGGAGTCATGCCTGTGGTCATCAGATGTTTGTGACTAGCACTGCAGTACAAGCAAAATAACCCCAGACTGCTCCGAGAATGGTTCCAAAGCGGGAAATAGAAAAATATCTGTGTTTGGGCTCCCCATTTCAATGGCAGAGTGCTGAGGCAGGCAGGGGAGCTGCAGCCAGCCATGAACTCAGGTGAACAAAACCCTACCAGGACGTGCAGGTTCTCCCTTACCCACCCAGCCAGCACCCCCTGGGTGTGCAAACATCAGTCCTAACTTGTCCAGCATTGTCCCTCTACTGCACTTCACGGGGCACTGGCTTTTTACACTTCACTCCCTGCAAATCAATATTCTAATTGACACACCATGGATAGGCAGAAGGATACAGAGGACCTGCCTACCAACCTGATGGGGATGATTATCCAAAAATGAAGGTCAAATCAAAGGAAAAGTCAAACCTGTGTCCAGCCAGAACAGGAACAGCACAAAGTGAAGAGTCTCTAAATAAGGGAATTTTAAAAAAGGATCTAAGATTAACTACAGACACAACCTAAAGAGGGCATGGATAAAACTCTGAACCAGGGAACGACAGACTAAAGCCCCTTTGGAATGCCTGCACTCAATGCCACGATGTAAGAAGCACTTCAAGAGGCATCTCCAGTGTCTCACACAGGAGATGTGCTTCCTTTTAATGTAAAAGAGCAAGTCTAAATATCTGAAAACTATCTGAATAGGCTATTCAGAACAAAGTAGCACAACCCATGTGCGACATAATATCAAATACTTGAAAGGATACCTTCACAAGAAACCAGGAAGCCAAAGGGATCCCTCAAACAGGCTATTTTAGCAGAAGGCTTCTGATTATTCTCCCTGGGAGGCTGGCAAAGCCCTGGAACCAGGACCCTGGGAGGCTGTGGAATCTCAGGCCCTGAGAGTGTCCCAAAGCCCCCTGAGCTCCAGCACCTCGGTACCACACACTGCCCCAGCCTCCAAAACCCCGTAAAGGGAGAGGAAGACACAGCTTACAGTTCAGGCACACTTAACCGCCCACATTTCAGTTAGCAGAGGGATATAAGGAAATCCAAGAGCCTAGTGCATGCAAGGTAACAAAAACGATTCGCAGTCTCATCCCAGGCAGCAAAATGTGGTGCCCAAGAAATTCCAGCTGCAGCAGGTGCCTCAGTTCAGCATCACAAAGTTCACCTCCAGTTGACTCTTTCAGCTCCATTTTAAGCTTTCCTTCCACAATTTTACATAACAAGTGAAAATGAGCTTTCACCCAACCTGGACATCTCAGCAGTTCAGCCCATTCACAGTTCAACATCATAGAAGCCCTGGGTGGGGCAAGGAGGAGGAAAACACAGGATTTTCCGTGACCTTTTGCAGATTTCCAAACCTCATCCCCTGTACATACAAGCAATCTGTGTCTTTTACTACAGAGCACTGACTCATTACTTCAATCATTTCAAAACGGACGAGAATTCCATCTGGCATTATCGGATTAGCAGCCAAATTACACAGGTCTTGATCTAAAGGTCAACTCAGTAATAACAGAAAGCCCAAAACTAAAGTACATTTTAATATCTCCAATCACTCACCATTTCAGCATCTCCCAAAGCTGCTCTGCCACCTTCCCCACACAGGGAAGAGCTCACAGGATGAGAGCACCAACCCCAAGCAGGCAGGGCTTGGAGGCACCAGAAGGAACAAGACACAGCTGTGTGTGTTTAAACCCTTGCACCAGGTGCATCTCATTCAGTTCTGAGACACTGATGCTCTGGGTATACAGCAGCATGCACTAATCTGAGGTTTAAATGGATTAAAGTCTTCCCCCAAATTATACTGACCAGATACTGGGAGGAACTGATACCTCCAGAGATGCCTCTTCCCTTTCCTTACAGCCTAAGTGCAGTAAATAACCCATCCATGATCTTCCCACCAGTGCTGCTATCCCCATTACCCCCCAGGAACACAGATTTCACGGTCCAATCTCACCTGCACCTCTCCTGGTGCTGCTCAACTCCTCTTCCCAGGCAGGTGGAAGAGCGCACAACAGGTGATGACTCTTTTCATTCCCTGGATGCTGCAGAAAGAGGGATCAGAAAAGTCACATCAGTGACCACCATGGGGGAAAAGGAGACACGAGTGACACCTTGTTGGAGGGGCTTCTGACTCCCAAGTCTGAGGAGCTTATTTGTGGGTGTGATAATTGATTTCAGAAGGAAGACACACGGTTCACACAAAGGGCAAAAGGAGGTGAAATGATGGTAAGAGCTTCCTCAACCTCCAAAACAACTGATCCAGGGGGTGAGTAGAAAAGCTAATGGAACCACCAGCGTGTGAAGGACACACAAGCCTGGCTTTGCTTTTCCAAGACACAGCTGAGTTTGTAGCTCAGAGATAGAAGGTTTGGGTTAGATATCGGGAAGGAATTGTTGGCTGTGAGGGTGGGCAGGCCCTGGCACAGGTTTGCCCAGAGAAGCTGTGGCTGCCCCTGGATCCCTGGAAGTGTCCAAGGCCAGGTTGGACGGGGCTTGGAGCACCCTGGGCTGGTGGAAGGTGTCCGTGCCCGTGGCAGGGGTGGCACTGGGTGGGCTTTAAGGTCCTTCCAACCCAAACCAGTCTGTGATTCCAAGGCAGGACTGGGTTCCCTTTATCCAGGGAATTATGTCCTGCCAAAGCAGCCCAGGGAAGGCCGGGCTGGGCTCCGTTCCTGCGGGCACAGCACCTGCTGGGGTTGCCCCGTCCCCCAGAGCGGGAGGACACCTGAACTCACTAAAAACGAACCCAAAAAAGAACCGAAACCAACCCCAAGTACCTCCAAAACACGCAGGGCTTCACAGCCACGTGAAGAATTAAAACAACTCAGTGCTTTGCAAGTAACAACTGGTGGAAACACTTCACGCACAGCCCAGCGCGGTGCCCGGAGGGGCAGGGTCCTGCAGCAGCACTGCCCCGCAGGCCTGGCTAACAGCGTTCCCCGGGGCTATGCGGGGCTATGTAGGGCCACGCGGGGCTATGTGGGGTTATGTAGGGCCGTGCAGTGAGGACCGGGGCCACTGGATGGGTGCGGGACTCTGTGGGACCATCGGCGGGGTGCGGGACTCTGTGGGATCCCGCCTGGCGGGCGGGGCGGGACGGGGCGGGTCTCCCCTCACAGTTCCGCCCCGCTGAGGGGCAGCGCCACAACATGGCGGCCGCCCTCGCGGCGCTGTCAATCACCCCCGCCGCCCAATCAGCGAGCGGCCGCGGGCGGGCGCAGCCAATGGGAGGGGGCGGGGCGGGCCATGGCGGAGCTGAGCGGCGGCAGCGAGCCCGTGGCGGTGCCGGTGTGGCCGCCCGGGGAGAGCCCGCCGGGCTTCCAGGTACCCACCGGGACACGGGGGGGGACAGGGACACCCGCCGGGCTTCCAGGTACCCACCGGGACACGGGGGGGGACAGGGACACCCGCCGGGCTTCCAGGTACCCACCGGGACACGGGGGGGGGGACAGGGACACCCTCGGGCTCCAGCCCGGCCCGCGGCACCGCCGGCTGTGGAGCAGCCACGGCTCCTCTGGGCAACCCGCGCCGGGGCCTCGCCCCCCTCACAGCAATTCCTTCCTAAAATCTCCCCTAACCCTCGCTAGGAGAGGCCGTGGCAATGCAACATCAGACGGGCCACGCACTGTTAAACTGAGCTGTGAGTAAAGCCAAGCGAGTGGGAATCTGATGTTTATGGGGAAAAACAAACCAAACTTGGGAAATCAGCGCCATGTTTCACAACGCCCGGAACACGACCTGCTGTGAAATGTCACATTTAGCGATAGCGCGTCCCCCAGGCTGCTGAATAAAGCTTTGCACGCCGAAGGCAGAGAAGGAAGGAAGAATACACACGTAGCTGTGGTTATATCTTGGCTTTCAAATTTGGCCAAGTCTGTCAGGTTTTATTTCTCAGCAGTCTGGGTTCTGTAGCCAGTCACCTGCTGGGGGCATCGGTGTAACTACAGAACCTGATTTTCTAGCGGAATTAAGAGGAAATTTGAATGTAACAATTTGAAGAGAGAAATTGAAAGTATCTTCCGTTTTCACATAAATGGATATTTGAAATTCTGTGGCTTAGAATAGGTATAAACTAACCCTCTAAGTAGTCGTTGTTTTGAAAGGGGAGGAAATGAATAATACTTCGGTAATTCTGTAAATAATTAAATCTATAAATATTGTGTATAAATATTATCTATATTTATAAATAAATACATTTGATATTTTTATCAATAAAAATCATATAGAGTAGCCTAGACCTAATTACCTGACATGTTTTTTTCTGCTAAGCGTTGTTTGTTTTTTTTTCTGGCTGAGAGACTTATTTTGAGGATTCAGGCACTGACAGACTGTTGATTCTTTTTTTAGTCCACAGGGAATAAAGGATTTGCAACCTTTAAAACATTTTCGAGAAGGTGAGGCTTGGAGTCGGGAAGTTTACAGGGAAGTGAAGCGTTGATGGTTTAGCTCCCAGGGAAGTGAAGTGTTGATGGTTTCAGCGCAGAGCCCACTCTCTGCCAGGCACAGGCTCTTTGCAGGTTGTGGTTTCCAGCACTAGTGATGATGATGATGATGATGATGCCGAGGCTCTGAGTGTCGCTCTTTCTGCAGTACAGCCCGGACAGCGTGGCCGGGGCAGACGGGGAGATCGACCCCACCGAGATCACCCTCGCGGGCTGTTCGTGCCGGAGCAGCTCCTGCGTGGCCGCCGAGTGCCCGTGCCTGCGCCGTGGGGACAACTACAGCGGGCCGTGCCTGCTGGGGGCAGAGCAGGAGGGCTTTGCCCGGCCCGTGTTTGAGTGCAACGCCCTGTGTGAGTGCGGTGAGTCGTGCCAGAACAGGCTGGTGCAGCGGGGGCTGCGGCTGCCCCTGCAGGTGTTCCTCACCCCCAGGAAGGGCTGGGGGGTCCGTGCTCTGCAGCCCGTCCCGCGGGGCAGCTTCGTCTGCGAGTACGCCGGGGAGGTGCTGGGCCCCGCCGAGGCTCGGAGGAGGATCCGGGCCCAGGGCCCCCAGGACTCCAACTACATCATGGCACTGAGGGAGCACCTGCACGACGGGCGCGTCCTGGAGACCTTCGTGGACCCCACGCGCGTGGGGAACGTGGGCAGGTTCCTGAACCACTCCTGCGAGCCCAACCTCTTCATGGTGCCCGTGCGGGTGGACTCCACGGTGCCCAGGCTGGCGCTGTTTGCAGCCAGGGACATTCCTGCTGGGGAGGAGCTGTGCTACGATTACTCTGGGAGGTTCCATAATTCATCGGGAAGCAGCGGAGAACACAAACCTTTGGAGGAGGATAACAGACTGAGAAAGCCCTGCTACTGCGGTGCCCCCATGTGTGCTTCCTTCTTACCTTGGGACAGCTCCCTCTTCTCCACACCAGACAGTTCTCCGTAGCCTTTCAGCCTCAGGCTTGCCTAAAAGATCGGGTTTTCTCCAATAGTTAAATTGCTGCTAAATAAAACTCTGTGTTCCAACAAGGAAGCTCGTGTGGGTTTGAGTAGCAGCTGAAAGAGAAGGCTTTGAGAATAATTTCATGCAACAACCCGGAGACTTTTCAAGGTGGACGATACAAGGGATTATTGGAGCTTCAGGATGGTCCAAAATCAGTTACTAAGCCAGGCCTCGTGGTTTTGCCTTGACTTCCTCTGACAGATTGGTGTCTATTCAAGCAGCTCTCACTTTGAGAAAATCTTTCAGAAAGAATTTGTACCTTTAACACTTGTACATGGAAAGGACGTGTGATAACAGCAAGAAAAGCCACTGAAAACTGCACAAGAAAATGGCACCAGGGAACTCTGACATTTGCAATAAAGGCATTAGGTTTCTTAAAACCCATCAAATCATTGTTTTGAAATTACTTGCTGTACATTTTTTTGTTGCACTAAACATAACTAATTATTCTTTGTGTCCCCCTCTCCCACCTCCAGCCCCACGTAGCTGCATACCAGCATTGGATGGTGAGTGACTGGCTGTTCCATTCCCATTTAGCCCCTGTGGAAGTAGGGCAGGCTCCAAGGAGCTGAACATCCCATCTTTTCTAACCACATCAGCCCTGAGGCTCCTGTGGTCAGATCTCTGCAGTAACAGCAAGCAGCACATCCCTGTTACTGCCCTGCACTGTCAGTACCCAGGGAGCAAATCCAGGCCCTGCAGGATGAGCCTGACAATTGACTGAGTGTAGAAATACAAAAGTGCATCTGCAGGCCAGCAGTAGCTTCTTTTTTTTTTTTTTTTTTTTTTTTTTTTAATAAATTGAAGACAACTTTGATTTGGAGCTGAAAGATTGGTGCCTCTGAAAGACTGAGCTGCCACTTCCAGCTCGGAGTGTGCTTTCACAAGGAGTCCAGTCCACCAGCTCAGAACTGGGAGCTGTGTTACCCTCTCCAGGTGCAGTAATGATTATCAGTATTTCAATAGTCATTCATTTGGAGATCTACTTTCCAATTGACATATGATCAGATTAATTAATCCAAGGACAGGGCTTGTAGCAACCTGGTCTAGAGGAAGGTTTCCTGCCCTGGGAAAGGGGGTTGGAACAAGATGAGCTTTAAGTTCCTTCCACCTCAAACCATTCTGTGATTAACCTGACGCTGACAAGGGACAGAGGACAATTTGCTGCTATTCTTTTGCTGTTTGCTAAACAAAATCTAACTTGGTGTCTATTGCCAGCCACCCATGCACTTTGAGAGCACGGAGCTGGGAGCAGATGATCCAATCTGCTTCCTCTTCCCCTCCTGGGAAGGGTTTCAGGATGAGTTTTACAGCATCTGCACTGCTGGTGATCAGGCTGAGGGCACGGTTTGTTACCTTCCTGTTATGGATACGCACTTGGCGTGATCCTGAGTAGTTAAGGAAGTGTAAATTAAAAAAGAAACACACCCCCTTCAGCAATATCTAGCCCTTGATCACCAGCCTTCCACCAGAGAACTCTGCTGAGCCCTGTCCCTGCAATCCTACCCCGTCAGCTGCTGCAGCTGCTGCCAGTGATCTGATAGCAGTTATCTGGTCAGAACCAACTTCCACAGCACACACCAACAGCAACAGTGCTGTACTGTTCAAAACAGCCACGCTAAAGGCCTTGCAAAACCAAAATAATACGTCGTTACTGAGTCCTAAACCATGCTGGCCTTTTCCCATTATGCCTTGCCCTGCCTTGGCACTGCAGCTGCCTGGGGAGCAGACCAAAATCCTACCAGAAAAATTCCCCAACATGAAACCAGAAAACAATTAAGACCTTTTGTTGCATCTGCTGAATTTCTATTCACTTTTTCCTTTGGGTTCCTTCAGCTTCACAGTCCCAATCTGCCCCTCACAGCTCTGTGCTCTTCCCCAAGGAATCCAAGCAGCTCAAAAGCCTCTGAGCTCCCTCTAATCCTCCCTCCTCCTTCCTGCTCTCAGAGGGCAGTAACAATGATCCATATTTCAATATTGTGCCCAGCCATGGTGTGTTCTGGAAGAGATTTTTCTGCTTGCTGGACTTACCTGGAGCCCCCCTGGAGGCTGGTGCTTGTTGAAGGGTTCCCCAGATGCTCTCCTGGGTCTTCCTTTCAACATAAACAAGCGGAGAAGGAGCGGGAAGTGATGGATTTGCACTGACCCAGGTGGGGTTAAACCCAAACCCAGTTTGCTACAGAACAGACAACGCTGGCAAGGACCAACACTAGTGCAAAGGTTTTTGTTAATCCACCGCTACACTCGGATCCCAAAACGAGGTGGCTTTAAATTATTCCCATTTCCCTTTTTCCTGGGTAAAATTCCTCTCCTTTTCAGTGGTTGGGTTGGTTTTTTGTTTGCTTGTTTTGGTTTGTTTGGGTTGGTTTTTGTTTGGCTTTTTATTTTGTTTGTTGTTGTCTTTTTGTTTGTCTTCCCCAACAAACAGGTTCAAAATTTACCCTGTGAGGCCTCGGGGCTCACAGTTCCATCTGCCATCTTTTCACTTCTGTGACTTCTGTTCAAGTGGAAGCATTCAGGAGATTCAGTTTCTAATGAGGTCAGTTCTGCAATTCCCAAGTCCCCAAAACAAGCTCCCTGTGCCCAAGACATTCAAAGGAAATGGCTGCTTTTCCACCAATAAGAGTCCTCAGCATAAACAAATGCCTGACATTTTATTGAAACATGTACAAGATTGCTAATCATCATCACCCTGAGGATCATCACCCCCCAGCTGCAGAAGGCACTTCCTAAAGAGCAGCAAATCTCACCAGAAAAGCCCATTTCTGACCCAGTTTTCACTGCACAGGAATGCAACCAAGGGCTGTGGGAGCTGCCCCTGGGGAGAGGTGTCATCTCCCAGGCCTCACTCTTGACCCCTTCACTGGCTTTTAAAGCTGCCTGGAATTTCTGAACTGCCTCAAATTTCTTTTAAAGCTGCCTAGAACTTTATAAAGTCCCTGTTTATTGCATGTGAGGGCAGAAACTCAAACTCTACATAAATAAAAGTAATTAGGAAAGATCTTTGCTAGAGGAGCTGGTCTGGGTGACGAGGTGGGGATTGGTCACAGGTTGGACTCTGGTCTTGGGGGTCTTTCCCAACCTGTATCAAGTAGCCTTTGAAAACAGTTTTGTTCCAGTTGAACCCAAAACACTCTTGCCAAAACCAGCTGCTGAGTTTGGTCAGCATCTGAGTCCAGGCCAGGTCCCCACGAACACGAAGCTTCTCCAAGCAACGCTGAGTAGTGTTGCATTTTCCTCCCCCCGGCAGGAACTTTGGGCAGTAGATGTTTCTGTTCTGTGCCATCAGCACGTGACACCGCCGTCATCCCTGGTTCCCTGGGTGCAATCCAGCCGTTCCTGAGCCCCTGGAATGCCAGGAGGTCACTGTGGCTCTGGGGGGGTGTCGGAGGCGCAGCGGAAGCCCAGGTTGGACGCGGAGCTGTCGGGGGTGTTCTGGCTCCGGGCTGCACAGCGGTACCTGTAGCAGTGGGACTGCAGGGCAAGGGACAGTGAGCATCACACACAGCTGGGGCTTCCCCGGGTTTGCTGGGTTAATAGATCAGTTGCGTTACTACAGCAGAGCACTGCAATCACCGTGGGACAGATCGAGGAGCTGATAGGGATGGGAATCACTGCCTTGGAAATAAGGGAATCCTACTGACCAGCTGAGACAAAAAAATACAGTGTGAATGGAAAAGTGCCCAATAAAATGTCAACCAGTTATATATCCTGTCAGGGAAAACGCTGCAACAACCATTCTGCTTCCCCTCAGAGGAGGAGAGAGCAGCTCAGAGCCCCGAGCTGTGCACCATGCACTGACACCTGACTGCAAATGGACAGGTACTGGCACTTCCCTGAAAACACTTCCCTGATGCAACAAAGAGAAATGGATAACAGGAGGCAAACTCCAGTATTCCTACAGCTGGCACTCCAGGGATCTTTCTAATGCCTAGGATAATCAAATTATCAGCAGGGTGAGTGGTTTGGCACATGAAGTGAGGCTGCCCAGCAGCAGCTCCCCACCGTGGCATGGGAGGAAGGGCACTAACCCTGCTAATTGCACTAATTAAGCACTGGGGTAGCAGTTTGAACAATCCATCCAAATCCTGCCCCATTTTTCTGTTACTTCAGAAGATCTGGCTCAGGTTTTTGCCCCTGTCCTCCCCTCTGCCAAAAGCCACCACTTGGATTCAGGCTGGTGCAGCTGCTTGGGGTCAGGCCCAAACCAGACTCAGGAAAGGAATGTACAAAGGTGCAACTTTAGCCTCTGTCAGCTCTGAGAGGGAGAAGAGCAACAGCACAGAAAGATCAGTCTGAATAGATTGTAGGCACCTCATAAAGAGCCCTTGTACTAACAGCATTCAGTGGCTTTTTTGTCTTGAAACACAGCCTAGTTTTATCACCTACAAAAAAGACTAGGGCAGGCTAGAATCTTCACAAACCTCGAAAATGGGTCACGTTATTCATCACTAAAGAGCCTATTCCAGTGTTAATTTAATCAAAACTGCTAATTAACATCTGACATTGATTTCACCTAAGAAGGAAATCAGTGTAGAAAATGGGATCTCACTGTAGAAAATTTAATCTAATTATGAGGGTGATTTGCCAGCTGCAAGGCTTTGCAAGGGAAGAAGAGCAGGACAGCTTTAATGAAACAGGAGATCTACAATGAGGTTTTTTAAGCAGTGCATGAACAGAGTTTAAAACATGATTCTGTGTCATGAACAGCCTTTGCTCTGGAGTGACATCCAGGCTGTTCTGAAGGATTTTCAAGTGTGCCATCAACTCAGCTGGAACATTCATCTCCCAGCCAGCTTCCTGCAAGCACCTGACACCAGAAAACGAGAGAATTATAGAATGGTTTGGGTTGGAAGGACCTTAAAGCCCATCCAGTGCCACCCCCTGCCATGGGCAGGGACACCTTCCACCAGCCCAGGTCGCTCAGAGCTCTGTGTCCTTTCTGGATCAAGAGTCATGGTAAAACTGAAAAAACAAAGTCACATCCACACTTTCTGCTCTGACAGGTACCACTCCAGCTCTGTAATGAGAACAGCACCAGAGGCTGCATCAGCTTTAACTTCTGCATCTAAAAACCATACTGGATAAAACAACTCATTGTTTGAATTCCAGGCTAACCAAAAAGAAGTCCTTGGGAAGATCAGGTGTTGGGTCCTCCTATTTTCCATGAAATCCCTTCCCAAGCATCCAGGCTGCCAGGGGTCTCTGTCAGAGGATCATTTCACGCTCCAGTGCTGTCAGAGGAAAGAGCAGCATGCAAACCCCACGTTACCTTGTGGCACATGTAGGATCCTCCCTTCTTCACTCTGTCCGTGCCCGAGGACGGCCCTGTCTGGGGAGGGAGGACACTGGTCAGTGCTCAAGGGAGAACAGCTTGGGAA